ATATAAGGTAATATACAAGCACTTCATGGTCCAGATAAAGTAAAGTATCTCATAGGTTTTGTAAAGACACTTAGAGAGGGGTGTGATCTTGTCGGAATGACGAGGTCAGAGGAGCAGAGGCAGAATTTGAATTTAGCTTCAACAAAAGCCAGAAACCCAGACATGTTCCATGTGGTCCTTGACAGCTCCATGGGAGTCAGGGGTAGTTCCATACACGTTGTAGGCATGAGCAGCAGTTGTCTTCATTGGCATAAATCTGTACTAAGAATATGTACCAGGTGCTATTCTAGGTGCTTGGGACACATCGATAAACAAAGTAAACAAAGAGGAAGAAAAAAAAATCCCTGCCCGCATGGAGCTTACATTCTGGCAGGAGGGAAAAGACAAACACGAAACAAGTACTGAAGGGCGATGAGAACCATGGATACACATGGGGGAGGATGCAGCGGTTCTCAACCTGTGGGTCGCGACCCCTTTGGCGGTCGAACGACCTTTCACAGGGGTCGCCTAAGACCATCCTGCATATCAGATATTTACATTATTATTCATCACAGTAGCAACATTACAGTTATGAAGTAGCAACGAAAATAATTTTATGGTTGGGTCACAACATGAGGAACGTATTTAAAGGGCCAGAAGGGCCCTAACTGGTTTTGCTCAGTGGATAGAGCATCGGCCTGCGGACTGAAAGGTCCCAGGTTCAATTACGGTCAAGGGCATGTACTTTGGTTGTGGGCAACATCCCCAGTGGCGGGTGTGCAGGAGGCAGCTGATGGATGCTTCTCTCTCATGAATGTTTCTAACTCTCTATCCCTCCCCCTTCCTCTCTATGAAAAAATCAATAAAATATATATTAAAAAAACAAAGGGCCCGAAGGTTGAGAACCACTGGGTTAGGGGGATTTGGGCGTAAGGGGAGGCAGGAACAGATTGCAATTTGAAATCCAGAGCTCAGCATAGGTCTTATTGAGACTGTGTTTGGACCAGTTACGTGTTTTTGTGAAGGGGAAAAAGGAAGGGAGGCAACTTAAGAACCATGCTGGCTGGATTCTGGATACATGAAGTGAAAATAGAAAATTAACCCCCTAATTATTTAACCCCTTGTTTTTAATGCACAAGTGTTCCCACTGTATGAAGATAAATAGACTCCAAGCAATTACCACAAGGTTTGTGCTCTAAGCGTCCCCAAAATAACCCTGTGTGAAGCACAGGCTCCAACTGGATGCCGTGATTTCTGCCTCCTTGGGTTTGAGAACACGCTCACACAAGAAGTCATGGGACTAGCCGTGTGCTAACACAGACCACTGGCCTTGGCCCTGTAGCCCTGGGCTTCACCTTGTCCTCTAGGGAGCCCAGATGCCAGTATGTAGCCAATAGTTCTTGGCCTCCCCCTGTGGGCTCCGTATGTCACCTCCGTTCTCTCTAATCTCCACTGCAACCCTGAAAAAAAGGGGTTATTCTGTGGTTGAGTAAACTGAGGCCCTGAGTCACAGGGCTCTAGTCAGTGAAGGAGCTGGAATATGACTTGGGGTCTTCCCTTTCTTCACTTACTGTTCTATGTCCCACCAACACATGAATCTCTGTGCACAGGAACCCCCACTGAATTCTTATTGTCAAACCTAAATTAGTTGCAGAGAAGACTGGGTTTCTAAGGCCTCATTTATTTACATATTCTTTTTTTAAAGCTTATACTCACTATGCATTTGGGGAGCAGGGGGATTGGAAAGTGGAAGAAGATAACATAATCGCTGTAAGTTCTGATGAAGATAGCCATGATTAGCATTTTACTTCTTCTTGTTTGTGTTATTCATATAATTTTAAAAATCATTATGCTTATTTGGTATATAAAATTTTATATTCTGATATTTTACTTAATGCAAACAGTATAAACATTGTTAATGTTACTATGTAATCTTTAAAATGTTTTTTAATAATTTATATACATAAATTCCATAAGCTTTTAAACATGATTTTAATGACTAGGCAAATATTCTTTAAAGTTGCT